ACTTGCGGCATCCAAAAGTTGTTTGCGCTAGGTTCCATTCCGTTTATTAGAGGAACAAAGTGCAAGAAATATATAATTATATACTTAGGTAGACAAAAGTGGGTACTAAAGCCTAAAACTTTACCTATAACAATGCTCCCAATGTATGGTAATTTCAGGGTGAATTTCCATTCGTTACTTGGTAGCCTTTCTGACAGATATTGCGGTTGCGTGGCAAACTTTTACTTTTATTCTTAAAGACAAAGATTGGGTTAAATGGGTTAATTTAATTTAAATTGATTAAACACCGAATTGTAAAAAAGACTAAACCTCCTCGATACTTTATTATTTAAAAAGGGTAGGTAGGTCATTATCAGGCGCCTAAAATAAATCGTTAAAGCTTTCTAAATTAAAATTTGATACGATATTCTCATTACATTTAAGCGCGAATTAAGGGGCTCATAAATTTGAAAACACTTACTGGGAAAACATTCGAAAAGGTGTACAAAATGTTTTAAATTACATTTCTCTTACTTTTCTCCTTCATCTTCTTAATATCATTGTGTACTCTACATCTTAATTTGTTGTTACTCTGTAATTGGAAAACCTTTTTGTATTGAACAATAAATATATTCCGGGGAAAGAATTGGGATATGGTACTCTCTACCTGTCGTAAAAGGCGACAAAAATGGAGCCGAATGACCCCCGGAATAATGAATCAACTCTCATCAAGTGCCAATAGTTATTTATGCAATGAGTGTATAAATGAGGCGTTTTATTGGTGAGTGAGATGTTTAGTCCACGAGCGCAGCGAGTGGGACTAAATTCGAACGAACCAATAATCGCCGATTTATACATGAATTGCATACAACGTTTTTTCGTCGACTTCACTGGGGTAGGTAATTTTAAAATATAAGAAATTACAAACGGAATTATAAGCTCCGACGATTTTTCACTAAATTACAGCTATTGTCGTTGCTATAGTAATGTGTTGTTAATGCTGTACCGTCAGTCCTCGTAATCTCAGTGAAAGATTATGTTGCTTGCTCTGATGCGGAGGCGATTTTAACAGTATATCCGCTCAAATCAAAAGAAACTTATTGGAACGGTTTCGATCAGTTCGGCAATTGATGGAATACAATGAATTTGAAAGGAGATATTTTCGAAAATCTCATGTTAACATTTTACCTTGAAAAGGTATGTGAAATTAGAATGTAATTAATTCTTTTGCAACTGTACTAAAGTAGGTACGTGTATTAACAGTGAAAGATATGGAAATGTTCATCCCTGTGGTCGACGTACTCAATGTTGAAGATAAATAAGTAACTGAATACCTTAACAATACCTTATCCGAGAAGCTACACATCAGGATATGCTTTGCTGAGATCGTTGGCGACCATACTGGCTACTGACCTCACTACATTAAAAGCGAGATTAAAATGGTTAGGTGGATGGAAGTTCTCAGCTGATGCCGAAAGTGAATTGTTATATAAATGTCATTCCCTTTAATAAAATAGTTGTTATGTATAAGTTGTTGCTAACGATTAATGGTTGCTAATGCATAATGGTTATATATAAAGGGTCCCATTCACATCCGGATATGTACGGCGGATCTATACGGCGGACAGATCCGCCTTGAGCTACACACAGGCGGATACGAGGGCTGTACACAGATCACGGACAAATCTCAATAGACGAGCAGGCGGCGTTCCCTCACTATTTCAGTTCTGTAGTGCTAGCCCCTGGGTTGTGTGGTTTTGAGTGCTGTAGTAATTGCTATGGATCATAAGAAGAAACTGACAATAATTGCAGGATATATAGTTTTATGTGAAGATAGGAAACAGAAGAGATGTGGTCAAAACAGTGGTTCTTGAATCAAAAAAGTACTCTCATATGACTTTACTTAGAGATTTGGAAACGCCTCATGATTTGCACAATTTTTTGCGCATGGACAATGAGACATTTGAAACTTAATTAAAATATGTTCGCCCAGTTATTGAGAGGAATGATGGAATGATACCCATATGAGGCAGTTACCAGTAGAGAGCGATTAATTGCCACGATGCAGTACTTAGCAACTTGAAGGAATTTTGAGGACCTACAATTCAGTTGTGCAATCTCCCCACAGCTTATCGGGAAAATTATACCTCAAACTTTCAAATAAGCCTTGGCAGAATATGCTCGGAAATGGCATAAAATTATTTCATCAGTAGTTAGGTGTGCTTGGTTGGTGGAGTAAGCACTATCATCTTTACCAGTATTTAAACTGTTCCCCAAAAATGCGCATTTTGTTCTGGAATGTTAATATCACCGTAGTCTTCAAATTTCACTTTTAAAATATCACCAAAAGGTAACTGATCGGATTGTATTTGACTAACAGTTTCACCATTAGTGGACATTGGTCTTTCTTTGGTTAGGTGTTATTCCGCAATTTTGCTTGTAAAGTTACCCAAAAGATAATTCAAATCTGTAGCACAATTTGCGCCTACATTATATTCAAAAGTAAAAACAACATATTTTTTTAAATTACTGTTTAATTGGAGTAGGATTAGTCGCATTTCCATTTTGATTTCTTAAATTTCCAAACATATTTTCAAGAAGTTTCTATTTTGTGATTCTATGTCCGGCAAACAAATCCGTGAAACGACTACACACGTGCGGATTTGTCGGGCTCGCTGTCCGTGCTCGTCGTCCTGATCGACAGATGGCGAGCAAGATATGTACGCCGAACAAGCGGATACACACATACGAATGGATACGGATCTGTCCCGCGTACATGTCCGCCGTACATATCCGCATGTGAATGGGACCTTTAAGTGGTTGCTAACGATTAATGGTTGCTAACGTATAATGGTTTCTAACCATTAATGAGCTTCATTTTTACACCTGTAACGTTAGGTGTAATTTATGTTGTTATCGAGAGGTCGACGAAAAATGTTGTTTATGATGCCTTTATGTTTTTTAAAAAATGTGCCAACGGATTCTTGGCGGAACAACTAATGTCAATGGCATAGGATGCCGAAGGCAACGGGAAACCACTGCATTAAAGATCTGTTGATATCCCAAGTTGATGGGGACAGAAACGATCAATGAAAAAATTGATACTTCGCATATTAAAGTGAATACCGGAAGTAAAATATCTCTTCAATCCGATTACCTAGAGGAGAAACATAGAAGGTGTACATTTTTGGACAGCACACCCCGTTTGCAAAACGGACAAATCGACAAAACAATGGATCTCAAGGAAAATAATTACTCACAGTTCAGGTAAAGAATATCCTAATTACCTATCTCGTCTGGACAATGGGAACGCGATAAACGACGAACCAAACACTTAACACAGAGCTGACAGCTTTTAAAACTCACATTTGTGTATCACATAATTTTAATAATCCAATAACTTGTTTGATGAGGTTAACAAATAATTATAATGACAGATCGAGTATAAAATTTTAAATTAAAAACAGTTTAATAAAACTGGACAACCACTTTGGCTTCTCGAACTTCTTTATTTGGCGAAACTGTCCGTCAAATTCTTGTGCAACAGTGACATACGCTTTTACAATCAACCTGGAAATAACCCCTTTTATTTCTACTTTTTTTCTATTTGAAACCACTTCCAGGTTCCATATCGTCGCCGCCGTCGCTATTTCCACCGCCATCGCCTGAACTCCAAACACCTACATTCGTTATCTTGCAGTGGCGTTGTTAGTAAAGGTAAAACTAAAAGGTCAATTAATTTGCCGCTTTTACGCCTTTTACGCGTTTTTACAAAACATCTTACCAGACAGAACTTATGTTTTAACTTTTATATTTAATACATTGTACAACGATAACGCTGCAGGTTTTCTGTTTATATAGAATTATTAGAAATTATTTATTAAGTTTTATTTTCGTGTGAAAGGGACAATGGTGTTTAAAGTAAATGGGTTTAGATAAGAAAATAATTGGTAACATTTTGTTTAAGTAATAAAACACGTGTTTTATTAAAGTCCGACGAACATTTGCATTTTCAAAAATGAAAAGTGGAAGTTGGTTCATGATAAAGCTTGCTTATAAACGGCTCTAGGACTTTCCGTTACGAAGGGTGATCCGTTAAGTTCATGGAGGAGGGTTTTCAACCCTGTTTGCATACGGCGACTTTTTGAAGTTTACGTCGTCTGTGAACAGTTAAGTGTTTTCAAGTACTCTCAATTACCGTGCTAGTCTCTTAAACCTTGTTTTCAGCTCTGTAGATCTCAAAGGTACAATTTTTCGGTTTTCAGCCACTTTCTAGCTTTCAATAAGTAATGGCTGATTAAAAATTAACTTCACCATTTTAACAGTCATAGAGTTTTAGTACCAAATGCATGATTTAAAAAAAAGTACCTGAAGATCAAGAACTCATAATGAAAAACAATATTAAAGTAAATGTGTTTCAATACTCTCCAATTATGTTGTGCGGTTGAAACGATTGGCCCCTCTCTTAATAACGTCCTACAGAAACTAGGTTTCCTTTTAGTACGTCGCACCTTGTGATAAAAAATAAGAATGAATATGTATTGACATTCAATAGGGAAATAACAAGAGGTTGCGAACAATACTCTACCTCCTCGTCTGCATCCTGAGATGACATACTTTATTCATAATATTGTATATGTAAAAGAGCAGAATATTTGTTCCAATATTTTCCCAAGATAAAATCTGAGAAATACTTACTAGCAGTGAGTAAATATGAATGCATTTGTCAGAGCATTTATCTTTAGGAATAGAAACTAACGAGACTCGAAGGAAACGACAAACTGCAACGTATTTGACTACGATTATAACTGTTGCGAATTTAAATTGTAAACATTTCGAAAATGCACGCTGCATCTTTGTAAAAGCATCAGTCTTATATTTACATATATTCTTTATGAAGGAGGCGTCTATTTTTCCAATACTCCACACAGTTCACAACGTAACGTTATGGCAATATTGAAACGATGTTGTCATAATAATGGTGCCGCAGATGCATATAAATGTGCGTCATCAAAACTTACCTAGTTAAATCTTTTTTGGAGCTGCCATTATGAAAACAGTTGTAGAGCACCCTAGAATCAAAGAAAGGACTATTAAAACTTAAATACTTTTTGTACTTTTAAGAACGAAATGGTTTAACAACTCCCGCAAATGCCAGCCTCATAAAGCGTTTAAAAGACGCGAATATAACTTCGCCAATTCATAATTTACAGAAAACAAAATTAGTCCACAAGATTTGCGGCATTGTTGTATATGAAAAAAAGAAAGTCCAATAACGTAAATAAAAACTACGGCGAGCTTTCGTAAATTGCCTCCATACAATCGCTGCCAAGATGAAGCATAATACCATTTATTTTGACAAACATTTTCGTATTTCCGACACTTACTAGGCAAGACTAATTTCCCAATGTGGAATGTTAATTGGATTTTGTGCACTCTCCTTTCGAGTGCATCTTCGGAATATTGTGGTAGCGGTTCTGAAAGGGCTAACTCAAAACTTTATGATATGTACGAATTACTTCGACGGTACGTGATATTCATTCAGGTGCGTGTGGACGTAAAGATGAGTTACGACTTATGAGACTTGGTCGGGAAATTTTAAAGTTGATAAATTAATAGGAAGGTAGAGATTAATGTTGAAATTCATAATGGGAACTTAGCCAAACTTGGTAATTTAGATAGCGAGGGGGATCAGGGCCATTCTGGACAGGTGGGAAATTTCCGTTGGGAATTTAATTGCTGTAAAATTATCAAGTAATATGAAAGAATGCAACAGAAGAAAAGCTTTTAGTTTTCGACTATGCTCGTATCAGAAAATAAACATCGACAAGGAAGAGCACAGCGTAGCAAGTAATTGCTCCCTGTGAACTGCGCCTTTAGCATGTGCATTTGATATTTAATTATGATGTTTAGTTTCTTTCTTTTTTTTTACTGTAGTTATTTTATGTTCGTGCTAATAAGGACATTATTATTATGGTCGGTGTATCTTGTGAGAACTCAGGTCTAGCCTGGTTAACTAATCGCACGGATTAAAATCAAGTAACGATTAGTGTCTGTGTCTGTGTCTGGTGAAGTTATGTAGGGTTCTAAAGAAAAAAAAAATATATATATATATATTCACACACTCGCATTGGAAATCTACGGATAGTATGTAATTCCTACTTACCAACATAGCTATTAATGGCCACAATAGTCAACGCTATCAGGAAAGAAGAAAACAAAACAAAAATATCATTATAATAATTCCTGTACTTTTATTAAATAGAGTTTATGTGTAAGTGTTTCTTTGGCTTTGCGTTTGGGTTGTATACGAGTGGGTTGTGATAACGTGGTGTGTTTATGTGAAGAAGGAGTTTTGTGTTTTTTTAACTGTGCTAGGACGTGTAACTTTATTGGGTGGACCTGTCTTTGTAGTGCAAGTTGCGTTACTTGTATTTATGGTGTTTCTTTGTTCTTTATTATTATTATTATTATTATTATTATTATTATTTATTTACTGTATTTACTGCCATTTCGTTCTTGAATGATTTATTCCGGGTGTAAGATATTGCTGTGTGCAATAGCTTGCCGTCACTACGCCACCAATAAAACTCCTGTCCAGCTAGCTCAAAACAAAACAACCTTCAAATTTAGAAAATATTAATTATTTTCCTAGTAGACGCCCGGCTCCTGCCACAGTGAAAGATCTCAATGTTGACAATAACAAACGTTTATTCCGAAACACATGAAACAATTAAAACAAAATCCCTGAAAGAAAAAAAGAGCTTAAGGAAGCTTATTTATTGGGTGATAAGTAATACTCCGCACGCAAGTGGTCGACAAATAAAATAATAAATCTTACAATTGTTTACAGTATTTTGCTTTTAATCCAAATAATCTGGTTGTACAAGGTTTGCGATATTCAGGCGCACTAAACCCACAGCTTCTGAATTTCACTTTACTTTATAACACATAATTAGATGAAAAACAGCTGGCTTGATGAGCAAAATGAACGAATTTTCGGTGGCTGCGTGGACGGTAGAATGGTCCCACTGCTTCCTTTTTCAACTTGATAGAACTTTTTCCGTATTCGGACAAACCGTTTTCAAAAACTTTCCACAAACTTTTACTACTTCGCTTTATGTTTTATTAAGAGTGCTTAACTTCTTATGCACACTTTATTCAACAAAACAAATAGGGCTGATTCAACTATCCGTAATTTACTGTAGACAAATTTACACGTTCTTTACCGTCACTGAACTGGCAGCCTTGTTTTCTTGTTGTCTCCAGTATTTAACAAAACACCACATCTACCACCAAATAATCTCTTTTTTTTTAACGCCAAACTAACGCGCAATTCTTCGAAATAACTTATTCCTTAACAGCGATTAGAACGCGTGCAATAATTAAATTTCGTCGGATAAGATTCATCGCAAACGACCAGATGTCACTAAATTTTATTACAAAGAATCGACCAACCAGATGTGTCTTACTTAAAGCACCTTAGCAGTTTTTACCCCGTATAGTCATTATTCATATTCATTTTTTTAATAAATATCACGCAGAAAATGTATAAATGGCATAACGGGATCACAATAAACATCGCTTGATATAAAACAAGAAATACTTTACTTCACAACTACGTATTAAGACACAAAATATGGTTTTAAATACAGAGTTTCAGTTTTTCAATCTACTTTTTCTAAAAATTGAACACGCCTGCTAATATATGCAAATGGATACTTTTTTGAGTTTAACAGAAATTGAATCTGAAATTTAATTACGGCAATCGTTTCAATTAACGACCTTAAAAGTTTAACGAGTTTTATTTTCTTTCGCTACCTACTTCATTATAAAACTTGTTGTTAAGCTGATATAAATGCTTTAAAAATACCGTTGGAGTAAAACGTAGTTCAACTTTCGATTATGTGTTATTTGATTAGTTAATATCTTCCTTTATCGATTGATGCCAAACGCAGGCTGCTACGGAGAGCATTAGATACCAACAGCTGTAAGTGACATCTTTGTATCTCGTTTGTGAATGTGTAATGAAACGGAAACAAAAATAGTTTGCGTTTTCTGGAACTCATTTGAATTTCATTTAATACTGTAACAGTTGTTCTGTTTGTGTACCTAAGTAAATGCTCTAGTCTAGGTAACTCACATTGCGAGGATTATTTTTTGGGTACTTTTGGTTTTAGTGCCTTTATTGTTAGACCAGGTTACGTTAGGGTTGTACAATTGCGTTTTCTTAATGCGGGTAGATCATGTTTTTAAGTAAACAAGAATGATGGGAATACTCAGATGTTTCTATAACTAAAATGTGATGCGCAAGTATATAGGAGGAACGCAAAAAATTGTCTTAGTAGAGAGAGTTTGGGAAAATTATATTATAGGCGGCGATACAGTTTAAAACAGGAAATATTTCGCAAATGTAAAAGCAATCCCAAAAAGTATATTTCAGAAATCCTAAACAGAACCCAAAACTTTAGCATTTCTAAAACAACAATAGGCGAATTTTGTCTCTTTCTGAAGGAAATTGATATACAGGGTGTTAGCAATTCGATGCATTACCGTTGCTTGGTAACATGCGAGTGTTGGTTAAATGGAGGCAAAGTTGTGCATTTAATTTCGAAGATATAAAAAAAAAGACGAATCTTTGTCACTTATATCCCGGTCAAAATAGACATTCAAATAACATAAATTCCGACAGAGCTGAATTTTAGTAGAAACCTTAGACACACCCCATAAGTCTCATGTGTGCTAAAAACGTTACATTTCTATTGGTTTCGAGAAACGTCAAAAAATAATCTTTGTAATACGTACGAAAACCCATTATTTAGTTCCCTGCATTCGTTACAGCAATATAATTTTATATCTGCAAGCTTAAAAGCTTCTATTAATCCTTTAAAGGAGTCTTAAACGTATTTAAGAAACTAAAGAGCGTCTCTCCAAAGTCTTCAATGATATCGGCGGCCATCTAGCCTTTAAGAGCTACTGATAGTCCTTAAGAGTCTTTAGGAGCTTTTAATAGTCTATAAGAGTATTTAATGTCTCAAACTGGAAAATCCTGCATAACGCTTTGCGAGCTGTAATTGTAAGGTAGGTTCTCTAATCGGATGTAAGGGTATTTAGAAAGCTTTATAGTCATTAATGGTACAAGTTCGATGTGAACATTATATTGAGACGCGGGTAAATGTTGAAACCACGAGGCGTAAGCCGAGTGGTTTTAGTTACACAAATTTCATTAATAACGTTCATATCGAATGTGGAGCATTCAAAATTTAATCGTCCAAAATAGGTCTTATTCGTATTTTGATGTATTTAACGTTTTCTTAAATTATCGGGATTTTGAATCTGTGTACCTACACACAACTGATGAAGCTTGTTGTCTAAAGTGATGATACTCCCAATTTTAATTACATATTAATTTTTCGCATCCCTAAAAACGTCTACTTTTTTGCAATTGAAGACTTTCCCGGATATATTATCTGCACCGAAACAGTCATCGTTAACATGTGCGTATTAGACAATCTAGTAGCTTGATCTATTAAGAGACCGTCAAATTGGGCAGTTGGTGGATCACCATCCAGCATCCCGGACCGCAATATTACCTACTTCAAGTTGGCTTTCGAGTCTCCCTTTTCAGAAACATAAATGTGGTAACATTATTTATGTACAATTTGGCTTGGTTGTTAATGACGGTGTTGCTATCCTTTATGTAAAATGTGCCTTGGTCGTTAATGACCGTATATGCGTTGGTCATTTTAACACTAATTTAAGCTTACATTTTTTGTGTATCTTTATGCCATTGTTGTATCGTTGCATGTATTTATTGTAGCGGGTATTCCGCTTGTGGACCTATTGTCCATATTTATTATTTGTTAAAGATTTTTTATTGCATTTATCGATTATGTTCCAAAGCTAATTCCGTTACTGTATTGGTTCTCTTGAAACAAGATTTTACAGGAACAGCTGTCCTAATTCATCTTTGTTTTATTTTTGGTTTCCTATACGGGTTTGCGTTCGCTCAAGATTGTTTTACTGGGAGACCTAACTCTTCCCTGACTAGCCGCTAAATCCCGTTTCCTAT